AGATGTAATTCACTTGCACAATGCATGAATCGAGACAAAATACTTACAGCATTCAAAATATTTGGTCTTGTTGCCGTGAGATACATCAAGCAGCCAATCAAACTCCTAAAATATCCTTCATCAACTTTGTCAGCAACATCTTCTTTGCACAGCTTCTCCCTTTGATTTATTGGAGTGTTTGTTGCCTTGCACTCTTCCATCTGAAACTTCTTTAGTATTTCCTTTGCATATTTTTTCTGGCAGATAAAAACTTCACCTTGCCATTGCTTAATCTCCATGACAAGGAAGTAGGAAATAAACCCGAGATTTGTCATTTCAAACACCTTCATCATTTCTTGTTTGAAATTTGAATATGATCTGTATTGTTTCCTGTAACCAGTAGGTCATCAACATACAGTGAAAGAATAAGAATGTCAGTACCATTGTGCTTGACATACAAGGTTGTTTTTGATGGACTTTTCACAAAACCAAAGTTCAGCAAATGTTCATCAATTTTACTATACCAATCTCTTGGAGCTTGTTTTAGACCATAAAGGGCCTTCTTGAGAAGATAGACTTTATCTCCTTCGTCTTCCTTCACAAATCCTTGGGGCTGCTCCACATAAATTTCTTCCTATAAGACACCATTTAAAAAAGTCGATTTGACATCCAACTGGAACACTTTTCAGTCCTTTTGTGCAACTATTGCAAGCAGTAACCTGATTGTGTCCAATCTAGCAACAGGAGCAAAAGCATCAGAGTAATCAACACCAAAGATTTGGGCATACCCTATAACCACAAGCCTAGCTTTGTGCTTATTGATCGAGCCATCGGCGTTAAGCTTGGTTCTAAACACCCACTTAACTCCAATTACCTTTCTGTCTTGAGGTCTGTCCACAAGGATCCAAGTCTTGTTTTTCTCTATCATTGGCAGCTCCTCCTCCATTGCAGCTATCCACCTTTAATCCTTTTTTGCTTCGACATAGTCGGCAAGCTCACACACAACTATATTGCACCTTTCATAAATATCTGAGAGCAACCTTGGTCCTCTCACGGGAGCATCATCCACTGTTTCATTCTGCCAGTCATCTTCTTCGTCAATCCTTGAACCAGAAAACTTGTGATTTAGCACTGCCACAGTCTGACCCTTTTTCTCTGCATCATCCCAGCTCCGCTCTTCATCCTCCACAAAGTGAACATTCCTGCTAATAACAATATTTCCAGTTTGTGGCTGGAAAGTTTTATAGGCCTTGCTGACATTACTGTAGCCTATAAAGATACCTGGTGAAGCTTTCCTATCATGGTTGCTTTATGGAACATGAGTGAAACACAAGCAACCAAATACTTTAAGGAACTTCAGAGAGGGTTTGTAACTATACCATGCCTCAAATGGTGTCTGATCCTTCACTGCTTTTGTGGGAAGTCTGTTTTGAAGAAACACAACAGTATTTGTTGCCTCTGCCCAAAACTTCTTTGGCAAATTCTTTTCATGCAGCATGCATCTTGACATTTCCATGATGTATCTATTTCTCCTTTCACTAAGTCCATTTTATTGAGGTGTGTGAGGAGCTATAAGTTGATGCTCTATGCCTGCATCTTCACAAAACTTGTCAAATTTTGCAGAAGTATACTCTTTCCCATTGTCAGACCTTACAATCTGAATTTTGCAGCCACTTTCATTCTCAACTTTTGCTTTGAATTTCCAAAATACTTGAGTTACTTCTGATTTAAACTTCAAGAAAAAAATCCAGCACATTCTGGTGAAGTCATCAATAAAGGTAATATAATAGAGACTACCTTTTAAAGAAGGTGTTCTTTGAGGGCCTGAAACATCCGTGTGAATGAGCTGTAATTTGTGAGTGGCTCTCCAGGTTGACTTCGGAAAATGCTTCCTATTTTGCTTTCCAAACTGACATGCTTTACAGCTTGAGATTGCATCACTAAGTTTGGGAACATCAAGTGCCAACTCTTTTTCTCTTAGTTGCAACAACCCTTGATGATGATAGTGTTCGACTCTATTGTGCCAAATTTGAGTGACATCTTCTTTGAGTGAAAAAACAGATTGCTCCTCCTCTAAAGGATTGAGTGAAAAACTTTTTCCTTTCATTTTTACTTTGAAGATATCTTGATTATTTGCATCCTTAATCAAGCAATATTCATCTTCAAAAATAACTTTAAAGCCTTTTTCAATTAGTTGGCCCACACTCAACAGATTTTGGTCAATTTCAGGAACAAAAAGAACATCTTGTATAAGTTTTGTACCTGCATAGCTTGCAATCGCAATAGTCCCATTTCCTTTGACAGAGATATAATCCCCATTGCCAATTCTAACTTTAGTGATGTTAGTTGGCTTCAAATATCTAAACAACTCCTTGTCATGAGTCATATGGTTGGTGCAGCCACTGTCAATCAGCCAGCTTTCATTTGATTCACTGCCCACGAAACTTGCAGCGACAAACATTTGATCTTCTTCCTCTTGATCTGCAACTTTAGCTTCTTCCTTTTTCTGTTAATTTTTGTTTATGCATATGATAGCTTCGTGCCCAGTTTGATTGCATTTGTTGCATCTCGCATCAGGTCTCCTCCAATATTTGAAGGGGGATGACCCTTTTTGTTGCAGTGATGACACGGAGGATACTCATTCTTCACACCTGGTTTTCTGTTTCCAGCCGTGGTTTTGCTCTCTGTTTTTGAGTTGTCTCCTTCTGCGTGAGGCTGTTTGAATTTCTGCTTCCTATTCTTGCCATTATTGTGATGCTTAGCTGTTAGAGCTCCTTCAATAGTTCCTTCTTGTCTCATTGCATGCCTCTGCTCTTGTTCTTGCAAGGCACTCAAGAGTTCTTCCAGAGGAATCTTGGACAAGTCCTTGATATTATCCAAGGTGGTAACAGTAGACTCAAATTTTTCAGGCAATGTTACAAGGATTTTCTCCACAATCCTCGAGTCTGCCAGAGATGATCCCAGCAACCGGACTCGGTTTGCTATGCTAAGAAGTCTTTCATCATACTCCTTGACTGTCTCAGTTTCCTTCATCTTTTACAGCTCAAAATCACGAACTAAATTCAGCACCTACATCCCTCGAATTCTCTCATCCCCTTCGTACTCAGCCTTGAGATAATCCCATATCTCATTTGTTGACTTTAGAGACATAATTCGGGTGAAAATGGTGGCTGAAACTGCAGCAAACAAGCAGGATTTTGCCTTAGCTTTTTTCATCTTCTTCTCCTTATGTGCTTTGATCTGAGCCAAAGTGGGATTGGCTGGAATTTCTGGAACTATGTAGTCCTCTTCCACTGCTTCCCAAAGATCCAAAGCCTCTAAACATGTCTCCTTGCGAACTGCTTGCCATTATTGTGATGCTTAGCTGCTAGAGCTCCTTCAATAGTTCCTTCTTGTCTCATTGCATGCCTCTGCTCTTGTGCTTGCAAGGCACTCAAGAGTTCTGCCAGAGGAATCTTGGACAAGTCCTTGATATTATCCAAGGTGGTAACAGTAGACTCAAATTTTTCAGGCAATGTTACAAGGATTTTCTCCATAATCCTCGAGTCTGCCAGAGATGATCCCAGCAACCGGACTCGGTTTGCTATGCTAAGAAGTCTTTCATCATACTCCTTGACTGTCTCAGTTTCCTTCATCTTTTACAGCTCAAAATCACGAACTAAATTCAGCACCCGCATCCCACGAATTCTCTCATCCCCTTCGTACTCAGCCTTGAGATAATCCCATATCTCATTTGTTGACTTTAGAGACATAATTCGGGTGAAAATGGTGGCTGAAACTGCAGCAAACAAGCAGGATTTTGCCTTAGCTTTTTTCATCTTCTTCTCCTTATGTGCTTTGATCTGAGCCAAAGTGGGATTGGCTGGAATTTCTGGAACTATGTAGTCCTCTTCCACTGCTTCCCAAAGATACAAAGCCTCCAAATATGTCTCCTTGCGAACTGCCCACATTTGGTAGTTTTCTCCATCAAACACCGGTGGAGAAATTGAAGAAAAACTTGCTTCAACTTCCATGGCGTGTCAAAGTCACTCACAGGTCCCTTAAGAAAAGAGCTTTGATGTCAATTGTTATTTTTTAATGTGAAGAAGAGAATGAACGTTGTTGCTGGAAGAACAAAAACAGAACTGCTTACTAAAAATCAGAAACATTACAGTTTTTAAAGCAGAAACAAAAAACTAACCACTAACAATATGATCCTAAATTTTCTCCATGTTTAGAGATCATGAATAACATAATAACTACTTCCTAAAAAATAGGAACAAACTTTGACACAATCAACTTAACAAAAAAACGTGTGGACTTTTTTCAGTCCTGAAGCAGTCTTCTAACAGTAATAGACATTGACCCAAGAAAACATATTGTGTAAAAATTTCTGGAAATTTTTAGATTTTTATTTCTTCAAGTAGAGCAGCTGGTAGGAAACTGCTACCAATCTTTAGCTGATAAACAACCTAATTCATTTTTAAACCATAACTTGGAAAATTACTAGCTACAAGTCACATACAGCAAAATCATACAAGCCTGCGTATTTGTTTTTTCTTAATATTTATTAATGCATGCTTCTGCTCCCATTGAACACTTCATTAATGTATCCAATCACCCAAACCTCATTATTTTGTTGCAGACTTTGCATCCATTGTTCTTTCAAGTTGAAACCTTGTTCCCCTTTGCTGGTGTATTTCCAAACTTCCAGATGAATCGACTTAAACCCTCTGGCAAACGATCGGAATCGCATGGGAGATTTAAATAATCTTCTGATAGCTTTACTTTCAGTGAACCGATGTTACTATCAAGATCCTGGATCTTGGTTGTTCCTATAAAACAAAGTGAAAAAAAAAGTGTCAAAACTTTTCAAATTTTAGTATAGACACAGGTGCTTGGTGCAAGATTTTCATGCCAATTATGTGATTTCTGCTGTGGAATTTAGTTGAAATATTAGCAAGCTATTTAGAAGCGAAATGGATGTTGAAAATTACGGAATGCAATTCACCAGGAATTGGTGCTAGATCGTCCCCTTTATGAAGAGCCCAAGCGAGTACTAATTGTGCAGGGGTACATCCGTGCTTCTCAGCCGACTTCTCGATTTTCAAATATAAGGTCTTGTTTTTTTCCAAGTTCTCTACTTGAAACCTTGGTAAATATGGCTTAAAAGTAGAAGTTGGCAATCAGTTTACTATACAAAGATTAAAGATAAGTTAAAAGACATAAATGAGTTAGTTCCCATACCAGAAAACTATTTGCAGGCAAGGTTTCCACCACTCCTTTGCCACCAAAGAAACCGTGACCTGAGGGCTATATGGTACAATCCCAATTCTAAGTTCTCTGCATAGACAGCTTTTCACTTAACTACTGTAAGAAGAACAAAATCTAACCTCAAGTCCTTGAGTTCCCAGTTTCACTCTAGGAATGTCAACACTCTGCTGCTCCTCAGCCATCTTTTGATCCTTTTTCGCTCTTTCTTTTTGTTAATGACCCGAGGCTTTTTCTTGTTAGAGTACATCAAAAAAAAAGTAAGTATAAAAGATTTAGCAGGCGGATATAACAAGTGTTTTGTTGAACTGTCAACTTGGTGACACCTCTATGTATGCACCCCTTAGGTAATCCATTTTTAATTGTTTTGTTGAAGGAACGTTGAAAAGCATACAATCATGCTTATTTGTTTAATTTTGGTGATGCATGCTTTTGTTCTCACTGATTGATCCCTTTATTAATGTATCTAAAGCTTACTACTACTCATCGATACAAACTTCTAGCAATGGTTTCAGTTGTTAGAGAGTTCAATCCCTCAAAACCTCATTATTTTGCCAATACTCTAAAACATTATTTTAAGAGCAGTGTATAAAAACTTCTTATTGTTTTTGTTTTCTAGTATGCATTTCAATATTTATATTCTAATTGAATCTTTAAGTATTAGTATTGAATCTATAATGTCTTTTTGTCAATTTAGTCACTAACTTTGAAATTAAATTCTAGTTTAAGTTTGACAAATTAAAAAAATAATGTAATAAGGTGGATAAAATTAAGAGGTTATTTATTTTTCTAACATGTTAGATTTTAGTTATGATATGTATATATTTTTAGAATTTGATCATGTGTTTTGAATGTCTCATAGTAAGATTTAGTCAGTAATTTTAGGATGAGTAAAGCAATTAACCCTTCTATGGATAACATATGCATATCTTTTCTACTATCTAATATAATAGCCTTATTTAGAATTACAGTAACTAATAATCAAAGCACCAGTGGTAGATTAGTACCCTGCCACGGTACAGACCCGGGTTCGATTCCCGGCAGCTACATAACTCTTTGGTCTGGAACTCTCGACCCTTCTATCTCGTTTAAAGGATTCAGTTCAGTAATTTCTTTCAAATCTTCTTCCCTAAGCTTCAGTCTTGGAGCATCAATGTTGCTATTGACACGTTTTATGAAACCTTTGGGTAACATTCCTTCAGTCTTAGAGCTTGTTTTTATGAAAGATTGAATATAGATTAAGGCCATAATGATTGAGTTACCATACCAGAACTAATTGCAGGCAGGCTTTCCACAACTGCCCTGCCACCGAAGAAACCATGACCGAGAGGGCTATACGGAACTATGAACTATCCCGATCCCAAGTTCCCTACATATGTGGACACATTCAAGTCCTTGAGTTCCCAGTTTCAGTCTAGGAATCTTATCAGTTTGATGCTGCTCAGCCATGCTTTGTTTCTGATTTGCTTGTGTTTGTGTATGGGCATTCTTGCAGTTTAAAAAGGTCAATGTTTCAATATGCTCATGCAAATCTGTAAGCTGAAAACATATGTATTCCATGCAAAGGATCTGAACCTCTTCTGTTTTCCAAAGAACAAAACATCTGCTTCCCATGCAGTGGCGCATCCATGAATGTCCATCCTAAAAATATTTTGGGTAAACTACACGTTTAGTATCTAAACTATCAATTTTGTTTCATTTTAGTACCTAAACTTTCATTTGTTTCAAAATTACAGCATTCATCACTTAACTATCTTCTCACTCCTATTTTGATCATTAAAGTTTAAAAAATTTCAATTTAACTACTCAACTTTCAAATTGCTCATGTTTCCTTTTTTTTTCTTAATAAAATGAGGCATAAGCCAGAAAGTTAAGGCAGTACAATGCTAGATGAAATATTGGCAATGTCTTTAGATAAAATCGGAAGGATAGCTGATGGGAGGAGTTTCAAATACTTGTAGAAGATAATTCGATTTCGAAGGCGATTTTACTATAGAGTCCGCAGCTGAGTTAGCTTTACGTGGGATTTATTCGATATGTTATATGATCGTCTTTAGGACTTGTGGCACGAGCTAAATGTGTAGGAGTATCTTTGAGCGATATGTTATGAGTCCAGATGTGTATTGTGCTTCAGTGTTCCATGTGGGCATTGTGTTGGTCATAGGCCATATCAATGTTGCCTTAGAGGTGGTATGGAACCGTTTTTCTGTCTAAGTCTAAGTAGCCAACAGACTCAAGTCATCTAAATATATAAATATTTTTCGACGTCACAAGTCAAACCTTCATATCAATATGTAAGTCTTTTGTTAAGAAGATTTGTCATTAGTAATGGCATATACAAGTAACTTATGTTTTGTTGATCATTTAGTATGTTACATGTATTTTGTCTTTAATTTGACATATCTTTATAAGCAGGTATATATGTACGTAAATATGTTTTAACCATGTTTAGTGTAGGGTGGATGTATGTATGCATTTATATGTGGTATAATATGGCATGATGTTTTATGCTTAGTGTTAGTTATATTCATATTGTGTGTGCGTTGTCAATAGATTAAAAAAGTTTTAAACAATTATTATTTATTATTTTATAATCATCCCATACTATTTAAAAATTGATGTTTCAAGGAATTTGGGATTTAAAACCCAACCATCCCGTTTTGGAACCAGTTTGCAGTAGATAATTTTGATATTGAAATCAACATTAAATTTCATTTAAAGATAAATATTTGTTTTTCAGATAATTAATATATTATATTTTTATTTACAAAATTGGAAATGATATACTAACAAAAAGTCATACATAAAATTTAAAAAATAAACAATTTATTGTAATATAGAATCTTAGTCAATAGTTAATTTGATAAGAAATAATCCATTAATAATTTATATTGGTATGTTCTCCATGGTTGATCGTAATAAAAATCAATAAATTAATAATTAGTATTTATTGTAATAAAACTATGATATAATAGTTGGTTATTGGTTATAAGGGAGAAATTATTTAAAGGACCATTTTTATTGTATCAGTTGTCCCAATCAATTAAAAAGTTTACAAAGGCAAGATATATTAAGAACGGAAAATAAATAAATGCTGCCAAGTTTAACATATTTTATTTTGTGTAGTGTTTTAATTAATTGATATTCCGGTGTACTAATGATATGAGAATAAATATTGATGTGGATTTTTTAATTGATCGAGATCATTAATGATATTATGAAACTTGGAAAGCATCCATGAAATAATTTCTTGATATATATTTATAATATAACTCTAATTAGTAGTAAATGAATAATGTAAATTTCATTAACAACAACTTCTTTATATACATTAATGTAAATATACATTCACAAAAATATAAATACAAAAGTAGATATTAAAAATCAATAATAATCAATAATCAATTAATTCAAAAATGATATATGTCAAAAAAATATTAATGAAGATAGAATAATTTAAATTTTTATTAATAATAATTTATTTTATATAAATCAATGTAAATATAAAAATAAAAATTAGTTAATTTAATAAAGTGATCGATTAGAGAATTTTACTTTAATAAAGACTTTAATAAAATAATCAATTAGAGAATTTTACTTTAATAAAGACTTTAATGGTAATAAGAGTATATATTTTTTATTTTAATAAAATACGGAATCTGATAAAAAAAAATAGAAGTCTAATTAATAGCATTTGAATATAAAATAAGAACGTATTCCTTTACTAGGGATACATTATTAGGGTTCCAGAGAAGCCCTACTGAAGACACTATATATATGCATGTTAAACCACTAAATTTGTTACAATTTGTTATAAATTTTCTATCCGAATTAATAGATCAACATGTATAGGATAGCGAATGCATCTCAATATCTAGCCGTAACAGGCGCTGGTATCGAAGACATCAAGCTTGTGAAGAAGACATGGGTGTTTCCAGGGCAGACCTGCACCGTTTTAGACCTTTCCCCTGTAAACTACACCTTCCAAGTCCAAGCCATGAGCGCCGAGAAGCTCCCTTTCGTCCTCCCGGCGGTCTTCACCATCGGCCCCCGTGAGGGCGATAACGACAGCCTCATCAAGTACGCTAGGCTTATGTCTCCCCACCACAAAGAATCTTACCATGTCAAAGAACTGGTTCAAGGCGTGATCGAGGGAGAAACTAGGGTTATCGCTGCTGCCATGACCATGGAAGAGATTTTCAAAGGAACCAAAGAGTTTAAACGTGAGGTTTTTGACAAGATTCAACTTGAACTTAACCAGTTTGGGCTTGTCGTCTACAATTGTAACGTTCAACAACTTGTTGATGTACCTGGTCATGAGTATTTTTCTTACTTGGGTCAGAAGACTCAGATGGAGGCTGCTAACCAAGCCAAGATTGATGTAGCCGAGGCAAAGATGAAAGGCGAGGTTGGTGCTAAGTTAAGGGAAGGACAAACTAAGCAAAATGCGGCGAAGATCGACGCCGAAACCAAGATTATAGCGACGCAGAGGCAAGGTGAAGGGAAGAAGGAGGAGATAAGGGTGAACACTGAGGTTAAGGTTTTCGAAAACCAAAGAGAGGCTGAGATAGCAAAGGCTAATGCAGATTTGGCTAAGAAGAAAGCTGGTTGGAGTAAGGAGGCACAAGTGGCGCAGGTGGAGGCAACAAAGGCGGTGGCGTTGCGGGAAGCTGAGCTTCAAAAAGAAGTGGAGATGATGAATGCTGCCACCATGACTGAGAAGCTTAAGTCTGAGTTTCTTAGTAAAGCTAGTGTTGATTATGATATAAAGGTAGTTTTGATTCATTAGTTTGAAGGGTTTCTGTGTAGCTTTGAATTGTTAATTAACTGTTGTTTCATTTAGGTGAAAGAAGCCAACCGGGAGCTGTACAAGAAACAAAAGGAAGCGGAGGCAAGATTGTATGAGAAAGAAAAACAGGCTGAGGCAGAGAAATCAATGGCAGATGCTGCATTTTACACTCGTAAACAAGTTGCTGATGGAGAATTATATGCGAAACAAAAGGAAGCTGAAGGGTTAATGACACTAGCAAAGGCCCAAGGCATGTATCTAAGGACACTCTTAGAATCAGTGGGAGGCAACTATGGAGTCCTAAGGGATTACTTGATGATAAATGCTGGAATGTTTCAAGACATTGCTAAGATTAACGCAGAAGCTGTTCGTGGATTACAACCAAAGATCTCCATTTGGACTAATGGAGGAGGAGATGCCGGTGGTGGGGGAGCTGACGGAAATGTTGCCGTTTCTAAAAATAGTGCTATGAAGGAGGTTGCTGGTGTTTACAAAATGTTGCCACCATTGTTCGAGACAGTGTATGATCAAACTGGCATGTTACCACCTTCTTATATGGGAACATTAACTCGTCCCCAACCCCCAACAACAGATTGAAATGTTTAACCGTTGAGCATCATAGTTTTCTCATATTTTTCCATTTACTCTTTTTTATGTTTTCTTTTAGTTGTTGGTTCTTCAGTCTAATTACAAACAATTTAGAGATTGAATTGAGTTGTTGGTTCATAGATTCTTTATTATATTTATACTGCTCTATTCTTTTAAGCTTGATTTACTCTGAGGTTTCCTTTGAGCATCCTAATTAGCCATATATATATATATATAGAGCCTTTTATTTTATTTTTGGTAATGCTGGTTTTTACATCCATTGTTACTTTTAACTTTCAATTTTCTTCTTTGTGGGAATCAAATCTTTTCTTTTAATTGAATTAGTGTAGGGACCGAGTAATTAAGAACATATGAGGAATTAGTTTTCTCTCTAAAAAAATGTTATATTATAATTTTAGATTTTTTAAAATTACATTATTAAAAATATATTAAAAATACATTATTGATAATTATAAATTTTTAAAAATATATTTTTAAATGTAATATAAGATTTTTGTAGGTTTAAATTCGAGCTCGAGCTCGAGTCTCGAGCTTCAATCGAGCTTCTGAAATTTTTTTGAATTCGAGCATTTTCGAGTTCGAGTCAAGTTTCAATATTATATTTCGAGTTCGAGCTAAACTTGATAATTTTTAACTCGTGAGTTTTCGAGTCAAGTTGAGCCTAATTTTAAACTTTTCAAGTTCAAGTCGAGCTCAACAATGCTCAAACTCGACTCGGCTCGTTCACAGCCATATTGAGAACCACCTCCAACATCGAATGTCATGATGCATGACTGCTTTTATGGCACAAAGACTTAAATTATGAACCTAAAGTATTGCTTTTAGTGCTTTCGTTTAGAAACTTAAAGTATTTAAAAAAAATAAGTACTTAAAGTTACTTTTTTCTAAAATATAATTAAAGTATTTTTGCATCAAAACAAATATCTAAAATAATCAGTTTTTTCATTTAAATACCTAAAATATTCTTTAATTAATGTAACATAACAAATTTTTTAGAACATAGATGGAAAAGATTGAATAGTTTAGATATCTGTTTTGACATAAAATACTTTATGTATCTATTTTGATCCCAAAAAAATAATTTTAGATACTTATTTTGACCAAAAAAATACTTTAAGTACTTAAATGAAAAAGATAATATACTTTAGGTACTTATTTATGATATAAACCTTAATAAAATAACCTCAGTTGCCGTTATTTTTTAAGCCCCTCACAAGCTAAAGGAATAAGATTGTCAATGATAAATTTTAGTGGAGAAACGAAAAAATTTTATTCAAATATTTGTGATAATTGTGTAATTTACTCTTTTTAATTTTATATATACATTGTATCATGTTAGCAATTCATTAAAAATCTAATGGTAGTTAATTTTCAGTGACCATATGTTAATTAAATAAAACTGAAAATGACCAAATCTTGTGTTTCTTTTAATTTAATGAGGAAAAGTGTGCAAACTTAAACGAAAGTAATTAATCATGTAGTGTACTTTAAATTTTAAATTAAATATTTATTAAATCCTTATTAATTTTGAAGTTAAGTAATTTAGTTCTTTTATTTTTTGATATTAATTTTATCCATGAGTTAGCATTATTATAATTTTTATTCTTATTTCCACAATTTTATTTACATTTCTTTATGAAAAATGTTATGGACGAAAAAGATTTGAAATAAAGGTGTTAATATAATTATTTTAGGATTCAGACTATATGTTATAGTACACTTGAAATTCATCATGACGGAATAACAAGTTCCACAAAATTTATTAAAAATAAAACTCGTTATATGAATTGGAGGAAAATTGTATGAAAGTCGACATGTTCTCATAAAGAGTTCCAATTATTGATTATATTTTATAAAACTCGTCATTACCTCGTGATGAATTTCATATGTATTATAACAAATAGCCTAAATTTCACAATAATTCTCAAACACATTCATTTAAAAAAATTACCTGAATTATTTGAACAAAACAATCTTCTTTATGATATATTTTCTTAATAAATCAGAATTTTATTGAATCCTCGAGAATTATTGTACCAATTCTACACTTTACTAAATAAAGAAATTACCAAAGATGACATATTTAGATCAATGGTGGAAATAGGGATGGCAAAAAAAATCGAAACCGTGGGAAAAATCGAAAACCGAATTAAACGAGTCGGGTTCGGGGATGATAAATGGGAACGGGGATGGGGAAAACTGAATTTTTTAAACAGGGACGGGGACAGGTTTGGTAATCCCCGCCCCGATTACCCGAATACCCAGCCCGATAATTATTAAAAATAATTATTATATATATATAATATTAATAAATTTAATTTAAATTTAAATATATATATATATATATATATATAAAGGAGATTAGGATTTAGAATAACACATATTGACCTACTCGTCACTTATAAGTTTATTTTTTCAATTGTATTGTTGATATGATATGTTATATAAATTAAAAATACAACAACTTGTTCACAAGAGTCCGAAGCATATTGTAAAAGCATCAAATATGACTGTGATAATGGTGACGAGATACTAAATTGATATACAAGTTATACGTGATATCATTAATTTTTTTATATAAATTTTGGTGGCTTATAATTTTTTTGTGTAATTGTAGCAATAAGGGGTCACAACTGTTTGATGACGGTGGTGGTGTCGTTGACGTGACTTGAAAGTTGGAACTTTGGAAGAATGATTTTGTTTATGAAAGTTTAAACATTATATTATTAGTCGTTGTCATTATATTTGTCTATTTGAATTGTTTTGTTTTTATATTTTGGATGCATTTGGTGGTGTTTAGAGTTTCAAGTAAGTTTAGATCCGATAATGACATTATTTTTTAAATAACTCATGTCATCGTGTGAAATTTAAACGGTAACGGGGATCCCCGAGGTAAAAAATAACCATCTAAGGTAAACGGTTATTTAAACGGGAAATTTTCACTGCGATTATACCCACGGTGAAAATTACCCGTTTAAATAACCGTTTATGCTAAATAGGGATACCCGTTTCCCTGCGGTTTTCTCCGATTACCCGATGGAGATCCCCATTTAAATCCCTGTGGTTTCTTAAGCGGATACGGATTTTTTAAATGGGAACGGAGATGGGGGACCAATCCCCAGCCCGAAACCACCCTGTTGTCATCCCTATATGGAAATTCAAGTCTATTTTGCCTCTGTTATATTATGCTCATGCCATAGCTATGATTATTGTCCCATATACTTTTTGTACACCTGATCATTCAAAATTTTCTTAACAACTAGAAACTTAATATCTATATCCACTGTGATGGATGTATACTTCATGGTAGGTATGTGTCAAGTCTAAAATCCAAAAACAATTATGTTTTTTTATTTATTTTATTGATTGCGTCCACTCTGAAATTTTATTGGTGTCTACCCCATACAAAAGATTTTTTTTATTAATACATATGTGCTCATCCTGAAAAATATTTCTAAATCTATCACTGTATATTCTTATATTTTATTGGGTTTTTTTATTATTAGAATAACACATTATAAATTTATTGTCACTAAATAACTTAAATGATATTTTTATTCCATCTACAATTAACAGTCCATGTGGAAAAAAATTACATCTATATTCCAACGAAAAATAAAAGTTTGTATATCTGATGATCTCAAAACTTAACATCTGCTATGTAAGCAAGTATCCTATGAATCATTTAATTGGTATCCATATTTGAATTGCCAAATATTTGTGTAACACCCCAGAATATTACGTTATATTCAAATACGCATGGACATAAATATACATTATACGAATCGTTTTACATTTGCTTTATTTTAAAATCATTCTTGTGGTACTGATCAAGATTAAATTTATTCTTTTTTCATTGTATTTATTCACTTAACGAAAATTGATTGGATATCTTTCATCATTTCATTATCATCTTTATTTGTTTGGAGAAATGTAGCATAATCATATGAAAATAACATATTATTCACGTGAAATACCATATAATTATAACATATTTATCACTATATATATTGTTGAAATGCTATTAAATGTTAACTTATCTCTTAGTTAATTAATAAACACGTAAAACATAATTATACAATTATCTTTAAAAAAATTTTAAAAAATCTACACAAAAAAATTATATTTATGACATTTTTTTACATTTAATCTATTTAAAATCCTAAACATCTTTAATTAAAACTTAAAGTCAGATCATAATTTATTTGTTAAAAATATTCTTTTAATTTTATTATCCAATCAAAATAATAATAAATTTAAATAAAGATAAATTTTAACTTAAAATACTACACTCTATTAATATTTTATCTTTAGACAAAATATTAACTTATAAGTGATAAATTAACAGTAATTTAATATTGACAATCAAAACACGTCAGACAAAAAATCTTCATTTGAATCAATTTATTACTTGCATACGAAATCAAATAAGTATAATGTGTTATTATTATTATAGTTGCATATGTAATTTTGTTAATTATTAATTTTTTTATACCGACCAATATTAACATAAACTAAATTATATGTACAGAACATTTTATATTTTAAAACAAAATAATCGTCACAGAAGCTTTAGCAACTTATTGCATAAATTAAATTATTTCAAACTACATTACAATATATTTACTGTATTCATCATAAATTGAAATTTTAAAACTGAATCAAATATATGTTTTATAATTCATACCATCAAAGTTAAAAGCTTCAGGCCGTGTATCTTCTTTATGGCTTCGCTTACAAAATTTCTTATCTTCATTAATTTCTCTTCTAATACTTAGGTTTTCTTTCCATTTATAACCATCAATTTTTCCTCCCGCCAATCAGTCATAAATGCCAATCAGATGAAACTACAAGGAGCTTTCTTCTGTAAACTGGAACGGTAAAGGATATTTACAAGTTATCTGATTAACCCTAATTTGATTGGATTCAAAGCAGTTAATTGAAGAAAGTTTAAGTGAAGGTTCATGAGAAATTTCCAGGAAAATCGA